CCCCACCCCACTCCCCATAGTGGACCTCCTCGGGCGTGAATTCAGAGTAGTCGGTCCAACGGGCTCCAGAGACCAGAGGGTCAAAAAAAGGGCTCAAGCTCTAACAAGTGCATTCAGGAATAACAAAAAGGAGATGATATGATATTGGTCTGTGATACACAACAAATGCAATGCATTTTTATGCTGGTAAATGATCTAAATTTCTCCAATATGTCAAAAAAATAGTACAAATGTTACATCAAGAAAGCCTAGGGAAAATGGAATTACTGACGTTATTTCCCTCTGTATGATTTCTCCGATACCACGATGTACCAAAACTCGGAAAAAAATCGTGTACAAGCAGTTACAGCTACAATCACAGTGATGCCAGAAAGAATCATTTCCAACAACCAAGACTTTCAACTTTCAAAGGGAGACAGCATCTAGCATTTCATGGCAACACAAGCATAATGGGCTACTAGCATATAAACCATCAACTTACAGGCACCAGTGTTCTGTATTCCCTCTCTGTTACTGACCTTATGCCATGGTCGTCTGGGACCACGTCATCTTCCATACCTTCTTTAGGAGGATACCCTAATCTCCTCGCCTGTAGCCATTGATCTACTACACCACAGCTAATAGCATACTTCAAAGTTCGTTCCAAGTAACCTTTATCAGTCATAAGATGAGGCTGAACTGTCAGCATTCTAATGATACCTGAACAAAAGTTTTAACAGAATTTAAGTCGAGAAGACCCTATAACACCAACGAAAATTATTTATTCTTCTGAGGAAACAATCCAATCTAATAGGTAGAGATACAGCAAATGTCTAGCATGATAAGTAAGCAACATTTGAGTAGTAATAATGAGAATCTAAATGAACTACTAAAGATATCCGTTGGCCTGCCAAAACTTGGAAGGAAAACATCACCTGTTCAGATGTGACATGACTTCATTCAATGTTAAGTCATTACCTTACCGCTATCTATTGATCCAAAGTTACGTAATATATCTCAAAACAAATGGCAAAGATGCCTAGTTACCAATTGGTATAAATATTGCAGGTATTAGTCAAAAGCCATAAATGCATCACATAGCAGACTCCATCGTCTCTAATGAGGAAGCTTTTAAAGGAACAAATTATGAATATACAGAAGGTGGTCATTCTTTTACCTGCAATAATGCCATCTCCAGATGCAGACATATCAGAAGTATAAGGGCTCAGAGGCACATCTTCCAACCCTAGAACAGAACCATTATGCTCCTTGGTGTAGTAATGAATCTTAGAAGTCCCATTAGTCACGAACAAAATCTTTAAATTTTCATGCCAAAGTGGAGCAATTACTTCTGGTGGATAGTGAGTGAACTTAGACCTGTCATTATCCTTGGTGTCAAACTTCTCGGAGGGTTCTATTCCACATAGAAACTCCAATTCTTGTTTCGTCACCTCTATGATATCTGCAAGATTCCATGCTTTTTGTATGAATGTTTTGGCTTTTTCACCTGATTCCCATAGTGGAGATGGAAGGTTGAGATCATAAAAGACAACCCCTCCGAGCTTCTTCGAAATCTTTGTTGCCCGTAATGTGGTTAATCTCATATTTGGGTCAAGCAATGAGAATGTATTGAAGTAAAACATTTTTGCCTGTGTGACATATTAGAACAAATGGAAACAACTTAGTACTAACAGAACATACAAAATGAATTCAAAAATAAAAAGAAAAAGTAACATGTAACTTATTTTATGATCCCACTAAGATTATGCAATATTAAAAATTATGTCAATAATGACTTCCATACTTGTAAACTCCACAAAAAAACCTGTCGGGGAACTTTCACACCCAAAAGGAAAACTATAATATTAATCTTTTCACATTTCCAAATAAAACTAGGTTCTTTCAGATTCTCACCTCCTTAAGGACATCTATATTGATCTCAGACTTCAATAAAGAATCCTCAGCACATGGTTTGGTGGTAGTCATCCTCAAGCCCCCTCTCTTACCTATCTTCATATGTGTAATGGCAGTTGCTCTTTTACTGTCAAGGCGAACTGATCGTGTTTGAACTTTGTTGATGTTCATAAAATATACCAAGGACTGACCAAAATCGTCATCACCAAGTTTCCCCATGAAGGCAACTTTACCTCCCAAGCTCGCAAGAGCCACAGCAACATTACTTGAACATCCCCCTGGAGCCCTGATAAACTTTTCAGGATCCCACATTACATCTTTCATTCTTTCATGCCATTCATGGTCTACAAGTCTATTGGATGGCCTCCCTGAAGGAACAAATGCATGCTGTGCTGCACCAAAGCAACATACAAGGGGTGGCCATCCATATGTGAAGCTAATATCCTCTCCAACATCTATATCGAAGTCCAGTTCTTCCTCATTATCGGCATCAACATTTGCAACATGTAGCTCTTCTTCAATATCACTAAGTTCTGTCTGGCTACCTTCATCCTCTAAATTATTAACCTTCTTCCTCCTCCCCCTTGTGGCCTTCTGCATTGGTTCTTTCTCCAGGCTTCTAGAGCTAGAAGCAGCTGCAAAATTATGCAGAGAGAGATTTGCGATTCAAACTTCTGAAACTTGCCAAATATAAAGAGAGCACAAGTGCTCAATGATGAGGAAGACAAATAGGTTTTACCTTTCTTTGAAGTTCGTTTTCGTTTTTCTATGGGCTCTTCACTTGACCCTGAAGTTGGTAAGCCTTCCTCATCTGTCACATTGCCTTCCACACCTAACATGAAATCCTCAAATGAGCTCTCCACTGTCTCTTTTTTCTTCCGGGTTCGTCGGGTTTTCTTTGGTTTCCCACTTGATTCTGGTTCTGTTACAGCTTCTTCATCAGTGACATTACCCTCCACATCGGATATGGAATCACCATATGAACTCTCCACTGTTTCTTTTTTCTTTCGGGTTCGTCTCCGGATTTTTTTGGGTTCTTCAACTGACCCTGAAGTATTTTCCGCTTCCTCATCATTAACAGGATCATCATCCGAAGGCTCAACTACTTTCTTTCGCCTAGATGAAACTGGAGCTCGTTTTGATGTCCTGCCAGTCTTTTTCCCAGCACCAACCACCTCTGTCTCCGATAATTCCTCAGTTATACCCTCTGGAGTTCCTTCTTTCGAGACTGCCATAAGAACCCATTTATTTTTAAGTTTAAGATCTTGAAGTTGCATTACTTTCATAGTTGGGTAAAAGTTCCAATGCAGATGCTGCCTGCATATTAGAGAAAGATAGAATCTTAGTATTATCCTCTTCCTGTTTGAAACATATTTTAGTTTCAGCAGTAATTATCCTTCAAATTTCCTCCACGTTTGAGGTCAGAAAATCTAAGATGCATACAGAAAAGCAAAGAAATTGAACCTCCATTTGACACTCATATTACAATCAAGACAAACATCCTCTTTGCATACATATTGACTTCTCATTTAAAAGTTAGCAACTTTAAAGTCAATGAGTTTGTTCTGGTTTCCGGTGAACGAAATGGCTTTGCTCCAAATCCAACTATCCACTAATGAAAAGGGATTACCCCATGCACTCGGCTAGTGCAGGCAGTGGCGGAGCCAGGATTTTCAATAAGGGGGTTCAAAATTTGAAGGAGTAAACATACGAACTAGTCTAAGGGGGTTCGATATCTATTATATATATCTAAAAAATAATTTTAACCATGTATATATAGTAATATTTTCTGCCGAAGGGGGGTCGGATGACCCCCCTAAAGACATGCTGGCTCCGCCCCTGAGTGCAGGCAGGGGTTAGAGGCAGAGGAGTGCAAGGGGGTTAAATATTACATCAACAAGATAACCTGTGTATCCCACAAGTGAGGTCTAGGGAGGGCGGTGTGTACGCAGCCTTACCCCTGCCTTGTGAAGATAGAGAGGTTGTTTCCGATACACCCTCAGTTCAAGTAAAAGCATATCAAAACAAGTACGGAAAGGAAATACAGTAGTGAAGCAAGACATGATGAAAATAATGTAGAAGAGAGCAGTAGCAACAAAGAAGATAATACGATAACCGTTACCTCTCCTATGTGGTTTGCGAGTTATTGCATAGGAGCGGGGGTTTTACCCTGTGCGCACCCAAAGGGTAGCGGCAGCGGGTTTCCCTTGTCATCAAAAAATTAAAAAAATACGATAACCGAGACAAAGATAAATTCATTGAAAATCATACTATGTAATTAGAGAAAAATGAATTTCTTTTAGACTTAAACATATATAAAAATTGTTGAATTTTCTTGCCATAAGATTATTATTATATTTTTTGAATCCTTTATTTACTGTCCTCTATCCCTTTGCATTTCAGCAAATATTCACCAAAAGAGCAACTCTATGCATTAACTAAAATCAAATTAAAAAAAGGATGAAATTCAACTTGCTGTCAAAACTAACAGTATATGAAAGCATGGACACAAAAATTCAACTTCACTTCCAAATTTCACCACAAAAGAATGTTATCCACACACAGGATAGTTACAAAGGTGACACCTTTAGAAGTTTTATACTAATTATCTGTTTATTGTATCATTCTTTTCACAGGTAAACCAGATGACACTAAACAATAAATGCAAGAACATATGAGAAAGACAAAAAAACTTAAAGAATTGAGTAAAAAGAACCTGGAGAGTGTAGAAAAAAAGCTGAAAGAGAGAGCGGCCATAGTAAAAAGAACTTAAAGATTCAATCTTTACAACCCTGAAGACCCAAAAATGGGTAGTGGGGTTTTACACCTTCAAGGTCACTGTGAAGTAGTAAAGAAAAACTGGATGAGGAGAGGGGTTTTGGGATTTGGGTTTTTGAGGGAACAAAAAAATTATTTTTTTTTCTTTTTAAATTTAATAGAATAATTATTTCACTATTTCTGAATAATTATTATTTATATACCTAAAGACATTTTTTTATGACTAGAATGTCCCTAGTGTGTATTAGAATTTAACAAATTGCCACTAGGTATGTTTTAGGCTTTGCATTTGTATTATATTCTGTTCAACAAAAAGGGTATCTTAATCTGTTTCCAAGATCCCATTTTACTGTATTTTTTGATGTTCATAATATGATAATTCTGAAGATTTCTTCCATTTTTGTGAATCTTGGAATACTACAGAGCCATTAACATCCAAAAAATGAATGTCTTCAGGCGTTTACTGCCCACAAAATTTGGGTTCAAAACATCCAAAAAATCGTGTTATGGTAACTTCAAGCCCCTTTTACCCCTCTTTTTGCGTTTTCCCAATCTTTTTTGTGCTCTATCAGTGATAAAGTTTCAATCTTTATAAGGTTCTGATGTAATTGGTATTTGCAATTAGTGGTATTAATGGAATATTTGTTGTTACTGTTTCTTTTTCTGAATGCTATGTAATGATATTGTTATTATTTACCATGTCTGCTTTGTGTATCTGTGCTATTTTTTAAAGTTGCTTTGTTATGAGTTACTTGAGTTGAGCTGTCCTTCGGAAACAGTCTCTCTACCTCTGCGGGGGGAAAGGGTAAGGTGGCTACATTTTGTACAAAATTATTGCTTTTTCTAAAGAAATTACGAAGTCGTGTTTCTGATTTTACTTTGGATAATGTCTGAAGTTTATCTTTGAGATGTTGAGCTGTTCTAATGGGTTTAAGCTTCCATTTCAACATTTGATTGAGGAGTTTTGTTGAATCTTGATGGATGTAGAAGCCGTTTCTCTAAAATATTCATTTTGAATATTAAAAATTGAGATAAAATGGACCTTAATACAGTCATTCATCCTCTGTAATAACATTATGTAGCATTTCACATAGCAGCCAAACAATATTTAGACAAATGGTGATGTTATAGAGAGGTTTGACTGTGACACAGAGGATTCATAGAGCTGACACTCAACTAGTTTTAGGATTAAGGCGTAGACACGTAGTGATTGATTGATTGATATTCTTTTTCAATCTTGTTTTGCAGCACCGGGCATTTGCTCTATCCATTCATCCCCGGATTGTGTGGTGGAAGTTCATTCCCCAGAGCAGGAAGTGATAATTGCTTTGGGAAGTAATGTTGGAAACAGACTTAATAATTTTGATGAAGCATTGCACCTAATGAAGCAATCAGGTATACAGATTACCAGGCATGCTTGCTTATATGAGACAGCACCTGCTTATGTAACTGATCAACCTCAGTTTCTAAATTCTGCTGTTAGAGGTGTCACGAAACTAGGGCCTCACGAGCTGTTGAGAGCACTCAAGAAGATTGAGAAGGACATGGGTCGTACAAATGGGATTAGATATGGTCCTAGACCTATTGACTTGGATATTCTGTTTTATGGGAAGTTCAAGATTCATTCTGAGATACTTGATGTTCCACATGAAAGAATCTGGGAGAGACCATTTGTGGTAGCACCTTTGATTGATCTACTCGGTTCAGACATAGATAACGATACAGTTGCAAGTTGGCATTCATTTTCGAAACATTCAAGTGATTTTTTCGAGTTGTGGGAAAAACTAGGAGGTGAATCTCTCGTGGGGAGAAATGGGATGAAAAGAGTATTGCCAGTAGGAAACCACCTACAGGACTGGTCATTGAAAACCTCCCTTATGGGTATTCTTAACTTGACCCCCGATAGCTTTAGCGATGGAGGGAAGTATATATCCGTAGAAGCAGCAGTTTCTCAGGTTCGTTTGATGCTTTCAGAAGGTGCAGATATGATTGATTTTGGTGCACAATCCACACGCCCTAATGCTTCAAAGATATCCGTTGAAGAAGAACTAGATAGGCTAATTCCTGTCATTGAGGCTGTCACAAAGATACCCGAGGCTGAAGGGAAGCTTTTATCTGTGGATACCTTCTATTCAGAAGTTGCTTCAGAAGCAGTGAAAAAGGGTGTTCATCTTGTAAATGATGTATCTGGTGGACGTTTGGATTCCAGCATGTATAGTGCTGTTGCAGCACTTCGAGTTCCCTACATAGCAATGCATATGAGAGGTGATCCATCTTCAATGCAAAACCCCGAGAACTTGCAATACAACGATGTTTGTAAGGATGTAGCATTTGAACTTTACGAGAGGCTCAAGGAAGCAGAGTTAGCCGGTATTCCTGCTTGGAGGTTGATAATTGACCCTGGAATCGGATTCTCCAAGAACACTGAACATAATTTGGATATTCTAACTGGTTTGACAACCATTCGAGCTGAGATTGCTAGGAGGAGCTTGGCTTTTTCTCATGCCCCTTTATTGATTGGACCATCAAGAAAGAGGTTCCTAGGGGATGTCTGTGCTCGTCCTGCTGCAGATAAACGAGATCCAGCAACTGTTGCTGCTGTGACCACAGGGGTTCTGAATGGTGCCAATGTTGTAAGAGTACATAATGTTCAATACAATGCAGACGCCCTTCGTCTGTGTGATGCATTATTGGAAAGAAAACTGAGATAAAACAGTTAATGCAAGCTACGTTTTGTTTTCTGGGCTCATTCCTTTCTCATTGTAAAACATATTTCGTGCAAAGATTTGTGTCTTTGCAGAAGAACTCAAAGCTGAAATGATACAACCAGAAAGAGCAAAGTTTTATGAGTTACCATTTTACTCGAAAAGTTGAGCAGTTTCTTGAATCATTTGCTTAAGAAATCTTCATCTCTGAACAGATATTTCCAATCTATGTTATCTGTCTTTTAGGGATCATTTGGTGTGAGGGATAAAAAATAATAGTGCTGGAAAAAAATTTCTTATCTTGTTTGGTTATCATGTTTGGAATAACTTATCCCACCATTTATATTATAGTGATGGGATAAGTTATCTCAGGATAGCTAACCCCCAAGATAACTTGTTCCCAACCAAACGACCCCTAAGGTTTTGCCTTCAATTGGTATCATAAAACTCGAAAATGCAAGCTGACCAGGACAGTACTAAAAGATATTAAAAGGGAAGAAAGTAGATGTCCTTTCTGAGTGCTTTATTATATATCCTCAAAAAGGTAATAAATGAAAACTCTTTATCAACTACAAAATGATAGCAACTGTATATTGAAATGCCTATTTGTGATAATTTGTGGTTGAAAATTTCCTGTCATCTCAAACAGTAACAAAAATGGGCATTCAGCAATATCATGTCCCAAATTCCTGGACCTCCAAAGATACGACGAAAAAAAAATTCAGTCTATGTTGCACAATATTACTAACATCTAAGATGGAATATCGAACTGATTTTACTTCTTGCGTGTATACAAGAAGCCAACCACCACAGACATGCCAACAACTGCTACTGGAACAAACCAATATTGCTTAGTAACTTCCATAAACTTCTGAGGAATATCTTTGCCCGCCTTCTTGACAATCTCAAGTTCGGGGATGGAAGAGGATGTTGTATCAAGCTCCCCAATGAAGAATTTCTCCATAAGTTCTCTCGCACTTTTGCTGTGTCCAGCATCTTCAAATTCATCAGTGGCATCTTGTCCTACAAGAAAATGCATCATAAAAAGTGAGTCCTGTTTATTTCACTATTTTGAGCGTGCAGTAATTTTAAAGCAAAGAACGCGATTGAATTGGTACCTGTAACACCAAGTAGAACATCATCTCCTCCTGGATGTTCGTCTAAATAAGATGAAACATCATATACCTGCATGCACCATGCAAACAAATTAAGAATTTGAATCAGCAAAATGGAGAATCAGGTAAACTAATAAAACTTCATCTATATCAGCTCAAATGCTACACGGCATTGTTCTGATGCAACAACACGACTATCAACAGAGCAAACATAAACATAATTTCCATGCCATCTCTCAGTCATGGTAGTAAAGATATCTTAGAATGTGATTTCTGAGCATGGCCCTTGAGCAAACAAAAAGTTATCGTGTTGCAAATAGATTTTTGTTAAGAGTACCAGAGAGATCATCAGTCTCACTTGGTGGTGGTGTTGCAATTTCAGAACTATCTTATTTCTGGCAAATCGCGGCCAAGGGCATAGAGTATGTTAAGCCATATTAACGTCTTATTAAAATTGAGGCTGACACAAGAACGTGGTAGTACTAAAGAAAGAATATAAATAGCCTATGTGCAAGCACAATAATTTGGAACTTGGATGAAGTTAAACTAGCTCAACTAACTGCAAGAGGTAATTATCAGGAAGTTCAGGCTTCATTAAGAGCAGCTATGGAATTTAATTGTAACAGTGTTTCAGGTTTTAATGTCAAAATATATGAAGACGATAATAGCCTATTTAGCCAGCATTTGGAAAGCCAAAAGTGCTTCTTCTTCTTTTCAAAAAGTGCTTATTTAGAAAATCGAGGTGTTTGGCCAACACTTGGGGGGGAGGAAATAGTGTTTTTGAATAATAGCAGAAGTTGTTTCTTAAGAAGCCAAAAGAAGTATTTTTCCCCTTAGGAACATTTGTCAAGCATACTCAAATTAATTAGTCAGACAAAACTTGATATTATTCAAAAGTACTTATTCAAAAAGCACGATTGCTATTAGTCTGAGGCCTTGAACTATACTAAAGAGAAAAATGTCCAAATCATAAGACACAACATGTATGAAATTAGTCAGCTAAATATGGAAACAAGCAGATAAAAACTATGAGAAAAGCATAGATTGAATAACCATTATTACAACTCCTCTAAATACCGTGCAATGTAACGTTGCATAAATTTTTCATAGCATTAGAGATTTATGTGTGAGCACAAGTGAAAACTAAAGGGAGCCATCATCACCTTACCCCCAAGAAAGTCATTGAGTTAGTTTTAAGGAAGAAGCAAATTCTCAAATTGTAGATATTAATCAATGGAAACCTTTAAAGCCTGCCCCGATGCAACCACCTTTCCACAGATCACAAAGGAGAAAGGTAGTGGATGAACTTTTATTTGCCCTGAACCATGTCATTTACAGCTCGTAGTGATTAACTCGCTCTATGAATAAACTTATAGGCTCCTGTTGCATTACTCATTACATTAGGGAGCATTCAAATCAGGATGTGTGATGATTATCAGCAGTCTTCTTAGTCTGATGTATGATTCTATATGTTTTTCATAATCTTCATTTGTCTAGCCCTGGTGTCATGTCAGTACTCAATCCTCATTACATCATTAATCTACCTGATAACAACTAGAAAAGACCGGTGATTATCTTCCAAATTAGCAAGACAAAATCTCTACCCTATTTTTTCTAACTAACTCGCCCCAATTCCAATAAGAAACCAAATACCGTCACTACCCTCAAACAGCTGACACTTTCCCGTCATTATGCTTAGTACAAAAGTAGCAAGGTGGCTATGTTATAAAAATCCTTTCTTTGCCTTCATGCACTCATGTTGAAGGTGTGCAATATGCACGTGGGTTCTTAGTGCGAAAAACTAGATATACCCATAGCAAAGATAGTCAACAATGATCAAGACTACATTATTTTCTACTAAGTCCATTATTACATAGTCATTAGAGGACATTTGAGATACCGTCACTACCCTCAAACAGCTGACACTTTCCCGTCATTATGCTTAGTACAAAAGTAGCAAGGTTGCTATGTTATAAAAATCCTTTCTTTGCCTTCATGCACTCATGTTGAAGGTGTGCAATATGCACGTGGGTTCTTAGTGCGAAAAACTAGATATACCCATAGCAAAGATAGTCAACAATGATCAAGACTACATTATTTTCTACTAAGTCCATTATTACATAGTCATTAGAGGACATTTGAGCCCGTCCCATTCTCAATCCTATACACTACAGTCTCAATGAACAAAGGCCAGTCTAACCTAACACTAACCAGATACATATGATAACATAACATTCAGACGCCTAAACGAACTTCAACATGGCAAACAAGTCAGATAATTAACATTAAAAACAAACAAAAAAAACTTGAAAGTAGCATTTGGCAACTAAAAAAGAATCATAAATCCTAGTAATTAATATGTCATTCTGAAGAATAACTAAAACTAGTTTATATAAGGCATAATACTGAATACATAAATAGATCCTTTAACTTGACCTCAACTAGCATTTATGCCCTCCAACTTGAGTGTAAACAAATACGCACTTATACTTGTATAAAGTTGAACAAGTACGTCTACCTGATAAATTCTCTACATATTTATAACTACCTATTTGCGCACACCCAAAGTTAGAGGGCATAGTTAAAGATCACGTTTATGTATTATGCTTTTATAAAAAGACAATCATAACCACTTTGAATCCATCAGAAAGCACCTAGGAGAATATTCAATCAATCACATTTACAATAAGAATACATTCCAAAACACCATCAACAAAAGCAAGAAAAGGGCATCAAAAAGCTCAAAAGCAGATTAAACCCAGAAAAGAAAACACCCAAAAAAGCAAATTAAACCCATAAACAGTAAAAAGAAAGAAAAAAAAACCCAAAAAGCACCTTGCCGTCAATGACAACCCAACAATCATCCTTAGTGTTGTGCTCAGCGGCTTCTTCCATTGTGACTAACTTCGTTAAAGTTGGCATCTTTACTTGCAAAATTTCTCTCAAAAATCTGTGCCAGGAGTCAATTATCTTCAAGTTTGAAAAGGAGAGTTTAAAACCCTAATCAAATCCTTAATTTCGTGGGTTACTTTCGGGTCGGGTCGGGTTGAACTAACTAAATCCTTACCTTTGGGTCGGGTCGGATGGGGTGGAACTAACGGAATCCTAGTTTGGCTTATCGATTTTTATGTATGCTACATCGTTATTGAATTAATAAGATATTGATTGATTTAGTTTGATTTAACAATCATTATTGGTTAACCGATTTAACTGATATAAAATCGAAACCATCATTATATTGAGGGAAATACGAATAAAACATGTTATCCATTTATTATATATAAAAATTAAGCAATACATTTCTGAACATATAACCCGTTTATTTAATAAATTTTCAATTATATCCAAATTGTTAATTCAATAACCCGATAACAACCCTACCAGCTATATAACATACATCAACTCAACTACATTGTATGATTCAGTCAGCTAAATTATAATAAGCATGTGAAAAATACCTTTGAAAAATCCAAAATGATGACATTTCACCAATACCATTTATTTATTGTTATGTCAACACCTATCATTATCAACTATTAATGTTATCGTTGACGCCATTATAAACCACCATCATCCTCTAGTCTCAACCATAATTGTCGTTGTTGTCTATCACTATAATCAGTCATCACCATCACTAGCTATCATTTACAATCATGCTATCAACTAGCATTAACAACAACAATCGATCAATATAGACAATCACCGCAATTAATCATTACTATTTATTGTTATTATCGTTCTTATTCAACATTGTCATTAGTTATCATCTATCACAACTATTAATCGTCATAATGATTCAGACATCTAAATCTTAATAAAAATAAATTTGACCATATGTTAAAATCCACACACTTTGATCCCTCATATTAATGGATCAATGCTAGGTACAGTCCATTTCTTCTTTGGCCCAATGTGAAAGTCCATAGCAAATTCCATAGATTTCAGTAAGTGTTTCAAAACTATTTAAAATTTAGCCCATTAATGAGAAA